AATTGGGTGTAATTACACAGTTTGACATGTTTGTTTGGCCAAGTAATTACGGGGTGTAATTACACTCTCCAATTCTCAAGGGGAGGTGAGAATTGGTGGTAATTACACTGCGTAATTACAAGGTTACTTTTTAGTTTCTTGCCTTTTTGTTTTTATTTTAATTTATTTTCTTTATAACTTTTTATTTCTATTATTTTACTTTTTAATTTCTTTTGAAATTTTAAAATATAATTTTTCTTTGTACATTATTTATCTTTTATTTCTCTACCTTTACTTCTTGTGATTCCGTGTAATTGCTTATATTTTATTTTTTATTTATTTTTTAAAACTACACCTCCTAATATTAGAAATAATGAGTCATTAATAAACTTGGCATATAATGAGTTATGCAATTAAAGCGAAATTTCGTTGTTGAATGTGGTTATAAACTTATTGTGTTTCCTTAAGTTGTAGTGGAACTTACTTATTATTATGTTGGAATTTGACATATTTTTTTGAATTTTGAAATTGTGTTATTTCTTGGTTCCAATTTACTTGTTTTAGTAGTATTGCCTCACATTGTATGTTGTTCATTTTTTAGTTAGAATTGTTAGATTAGTTTTGTCAAACATTTGAATAATGTTATGATATTATATTTATAAATATTAATTTATTTTATCAAACATGAATTCCATGATGTTCTTACAAAACGTATGTTTTTAGTTTTTGTAAGTATACAACAATTAAATATTATTAATTTGAAATATATATATATTAATTATTTTTATAATATTAGTTACAAATATATGATTAGTAATTAATATAGTTTCAAGAAACAATATCTATCTTAAATATNTTATCATTTATACTTATAAAAATTTGTAGGCATATATTTATTATATTAACTTTTAAATTTTGATAATTACTTCATTTAAAATATAATTTGACTGTGTAATTATATTTGTGCAACTAAACAGTAACTTGTAATTACATTGTAATTATACTATGACAAACAAACAGGTCGTCGTAATTACAGTGTAATTACTACCCTAGTAATTACACCAATTCCAATTACCCGGCGGCTTTCCAAATAGACTTAGAAAAATCTCCGGTTTTGAATATCTTGATTTGTCTAATAACCAAATGACAGGGTCATTACCAGACTTAGCATTATTTCCGTCTCTGAGAGAGTTGCATCTGGGATATAATCATTTTCATGGGTTGATACCACAAGGTTTAGGGCAACTTTACAATCTTGAAATTTTTCTTGCACCTTCTAATTTGTTAGAAGGCACAAACTCTGAATCCCATCTTTGCAACCTGAAAACTGTAAACTTGTCTTCCAACTCCTTGACTTGAAATGTTAGCCTTGATTGGGTTCCATGTTTTCAACTACAAGTTATAAGTCTTTCATCTTGTAATCTTGGGCGTCATTTTCCAAGATGGCTTCAAACTCAAAATAACTACGCATATCTGGATATCTCTCTTGCTAGTATCTCAGACACTATGCCTAGTTGGTTTCCAAAGTTGCCTCCCATGTTAACATACTTGAATCTCTCTTTCAACCAAATCAGTGGAATGATATCAGCAATTAATGTTGATTTTAGTTATGGTCCCATTGTCATAGATTTCAGTTATAACAATTTCTCAGGGCCCTAACCAGGATTTCCTCGATTGGTTAGTGAATTGTGCGTTAACAACAATCAGTTTTCTGGATCACTTAACTCCATATGTAAAATTCGTTCAGCCACAACCCTTGACTTATCAGAAAATCTCTTGTCCGGAGGGATTCCTAATTGTTGGACCCGTATGTCTGTTCCAATGATCCTTAATGTAGCCAATAACCGTATATCTGGAAGTATTCCATACTCTCTGTGTTCTTCAACAGCCTTGACTTCTCTATACATGCGTAAAAACAATTTAAGTGGACAGTTCCCTGCCTCTTTGAAGAATTGTCAAGGTTTGAGTGTCTTGGATTTGGGAAGAAATATATTGAGTGGGAAAATCCCAGAATGGATAGGGACTAAGTTAGCTTATTTGGGAAGTTTGAGCCTTCGATTCAACGAATTCTCTGGGAGCATTCCTCCAAGTATATGTCAGCTTCAATCTATTCAAATACTGGACCTTTCTGGCAACCATTTATCTGGAAAAATTCCACAATGTTTCAGCAATTTCACCTCACTGCAACTTTCAGAAGATGGTTCAAGTGTGAGCTATGACTTTGATGTAAGTTATTTCCTACGTGTATATGTCGTCCAATAGGTTTAAGGCCCATAAATAATATTTAATTAATTATCAAATCTCATCCGTCCGATCGGTTACTTGATGGACGTACCGGATTAAGTAAGAACATCTATAAATTGGTCCTCTCCCCGTTACCGTATTTTATTCTTTTTTCCATCACTAAAGTCGGCGGTAACGAAAGTTAGGGCAAGGGACGAGAAACCAAATTGGTGATATCTTTCACGCGCTTCATGGCAATGCAACTCACATTATGTGCCATGTAAGCAAGTTGTGTCTAATAGGAACAATTTGGTTTGAGTTTAGGTGTTCAATAGGTATAATATTCAATTGAAGTGCCTAAGTGAAAATTATGGCCAAGTTCAAGGGTCCGCTTATGTATTCCGCCTTTGTTATTTGTTAGAATAATATTTTTAATAGTGACTTGTCTTAAATTTGTTCAATTTCTTCCCATTTAGATTATATGCTCCCATGAGTCGCATAATATTTGTACGAAATAAATGGAAATCACATAAGACAATATCGAAATCACAGTCTTAAGTCCCCACGGACTTAAAATATCAATTATTAGAGAGAGAAAAATGACCCTTTGGACTAGTAAAAACGGAGAGATTTGAATAGCATTTCACACGGATCTAAGAAAAAGACATGCGTAGATGAAACAAAAGAGGAAATGGGTCGTCGGAAAAGGGTATTCCGGCCGAAGCTCCTTTCTCGATCAAATTATCTAGTGATTCTCACTTCTCCAGTGGTGGTTCATTCCATATCTTTAGATGCAAAGAAAGAAAGAAGATAAAGATCTCTACATGTATAATTAATATTGATAAAGTAGTTAGTATATTAAAAATATTAGTATAATTTAAACACTAGGTAAAATCACAATAATTGACTGAGATTCTTCTATTGTTGGAAACATTATATTCTACTAAAAAGATGGAAAATTATGACAATTACATGAAGAGGCTACGCATTGTTCCATATCCATACCACTCAACATTTGGTACATTTTTTAGATTAGTGAGGCCACAGTTTGAGGCAGATTTGCTAGCATTAAGATAAAGAAAAAGGAAGTTTCAGTAGTTCTAAGTGACTAAGTCTATGGAAGAAGATAGGATCAACCGATCAGGAGATGGTGGTAGGAGATGGTGGTGGTTATTGCGGTGGTAAAATAAAGAAGAAGACAAACTGAAACGATGAAGGATGGTCGTGAATTGTGGTGGTGCCGATGAAACCAAGAAGACGAGTGTTGTTTGGGGGTGGGGGTGGGGATGTGGGCGGGAAAAATATTAGTTATTCTTTTAAAGTTACGTGTGATTTAATAATTTGCTGCTTTTGGCGTGTAAGAGTCACGCCCTTTACATTGTGGGGAGATTGTCAATTCTGTGTTTAATTGAAACATTTTTAACTTGGTTGAAGTATTCAATAGGTAAAGCCTTTGGATAAGGTGTCTAAGTGGAAAATCGGGACAAGTTTAGGGAGCCATTTATGTATTTGGCCAATAACAAATAATAGTTAAGAAAATTCGATGAGGCTTTTCAAGACCGCGCTAAATTCACTAGTGAGGCATAAATTATGGTATTAAAGTTCTTGAGCTAAGTTTTGCTTATAAGATAAGAGTTATAGAGCATTTCATAAGTTAAACAAAATGAGGTAGCGTAAATTATTACCGATGAGGCATAAGTTGTGGTTTTTATAGTCCATGAGCTAAGTTTTGCCTATAAGGCAAGTGTCATAGAGTATCTCATACGTTAGACATAATGAGGTAGCATAAACTGTTATTCATGGGGAATAAGTTGTGGCTTCAAAATCTTTGATCTAACCTTTTGCCTATGAGGCAGGAGTTGTAGACTATTTCATAAGTTAGAAATAACAAGGTAGTGTAAAATGTTGTCCATCGGGAATAAGTCGTGGCTTCAAAGTGCCTGAGTTATATTATGCCTATAAGGTAGGAGTTGCAGAGTATCTCATAAGTTAGATATTGTTAGTTAGTGTAAAGTATTACCTTTGCAGTATAACTTGTGGAATGACAATATTCGACGAACAGAGAAATAACGTTCTTCAAGGTTTATCACGTTTTTGCTAACAATGTTTTAGTCTAGCTTCCTCAATTCTTTTCTTCACCTGATATAATCTCACCCATGGATTTCTAATCACAATCCCAACAAATCCTAACAACAATTTTGGATCAAACATCAGTAACTCATAAAACTCAATTGTATGTTCTTTAAAAGCTTCAATCCTAATAATGGTGAAATATTGTTTCTTCAATAAAATTCATTCAAATTGACTAACGGTCTTTTTTCCCCTTCTTGAAACTTTAATCAAGATTGTTGTTGTCGACTTTTTATTTTGGTTCAATATTGAGAGAATTGGTTCATACGGGGGTGATCTTGATGAGACTTGTGCGTGTGGCTTTTATAAAGACTTAAGAGCTGATGGAGAAAATGTGTTCTGTATTATATAGCAAACTGAGTATATATACAAGTTTACCTAAGACTACTCCTTGTATTAGGAGACTTATTCAACGTAAAGGCTATTAAAATAAACTAATTGATAGACATTCTCAATGGGAGGATAACTTTAGATCTACTTGTGTAACTAAAAGGATAAACATAAAATATAAAGACTATTAGATGAGAATTCGTAAAAATCTGGTAAAAGGAATTGGTGTTCCAATACACCCCCCTCAAGTTAGGCTATGTGGCACTAAGCCTAACTTGAACAGATTTCGGTCAAAGGCCGGCTTGGCAAGGGCTTTGGTGAGCGTATCAACAAGTTGGTCAGCAGAGTGAACATGAACTACTCAGAACCAGCTTTTCTTCAACATGGTTGCGCACAAAATGAAAATCCACCTCAACATGTTTCATGCGACTATGAAGGACATGATTCTTGCTTAGGTAAGTGACACCAATGTTGTCACAGTAAATTGTAGAGATATCTCTGACTAAGAGTTGCATCTCAAGCAATAGGTTTCTAACCCACAAAAGTTCAGCAAGAGCATTGGTAACAGCTCTATATTCGGCTTCAGTTGATAAGCGAGTTACAGTCTTCTGCTTTTTCGAGGACCAACTGATGGGGTTTGGGCCAAGAAACAAAATATAACCAGATGTTGAGGATCTGTCAGTGAGATCTCTAGCCCAGTCGGCATCAGAATACATGTGCAAATAAAAGTCAAACTTGGGGGACACGCGCAAGCCAAATTGAAGTGTACCACGAAGGTACCTGAGAACAGGTTTCACAGCCTTCCAATGAAGATCAGATGGTGATTGCATAAATTGGGACAATTTATTGACTGCATAGGCAATGCCCAGCCTCGTAAAAGATAAATATTGAAGTCTTCCTAGGACTCGCCGATAGCGAGTTGCATCTATTAACTGAGCCCCATCATTGAGTTTGAGTAACTTAGAGGCACTCATTGGTGTTTTCGCACTCTTGCAGTAAGACATCAATTCATCACTCAGGATCTCATTGACATAATTGGCTTGGGATAGAATAATTTCATCAGAACTTCGAATCACCTCAACACCAAGAAAATAATGAAGATTACCCAAGTCTTTAATTGAAAAGCGAGAGGCAAGAAAATCTATAATGTCATTCACGGTGATAGGATTGCTGCCGGTAACTATGATGTCATCAACATACACCTAAACAAACATGAGTCCAACATGGTTGTGCCTAATGAATAAGGAGTTATCTGATTCTGTCTTGACTAATCCCATTGAGAAAAATGGCCTTTGAGTGCATTATAACCACCACTTTAAATTGACAAAATTTTATTTGATTAAGGCAGGGGCAGAAAATTCGTTTGTATCGGAGAAACTCTTCATAGGGGAAAGAACAAGCATCAAAGCAGGTTTGACCATAAACTTTCAGGACCCTCCTAGAAAATGGGACCTAGTTTAAAGTTCAGAAATAGCATAATCTAGCATAAGTGTATCCCCAAAAAATGTAAGTTAGCTTAGAAGGTTGCATGGTCGAGATAGAATTCAATTAGGAGCTTCCAGGACCCTCATGAATAATGGGACTTAGCTTTAATATTTCAATTAGATAACAACAATTTAGCGTAAACTCTACTGTAGGGTAGTATAATTCAACTATGAAAGTTGTTACTCTTAAGATAAAACTTGACTTTTGATTTTCAGGACCCTCCTGGATAATGGGGAGTAGTTTAAGACCCTTTTAGATTACAAGATTTAGCAGAAATCACACCTGTAGAGGACATAACTTAGGTTTCAAAAATTGTCGTTTAGTTAAGAGTTGTCAGGACATCCTGAATAATGGGATCTAGCTTTCAATTCTTAGTAATACTTGGTAATATGATTTAGTTTTACACTCACATCTATGCCCAGCCATCAAATAGGGGCAGGAAAATTTTCTTTGTTTTGTCTATTTTGAAGTCAGGAGCCCGCCTAAAAAGCAGGGAATATATTTCAAGTTGAAGTCAGGAGCCCGCCTGGAGAGTAAGGAATACTTTCAAATGTTGAAGTCAGGAGCCCGCCCGGAGAGCAGAGAATACTTTCAAGTTCAGCAGTCAGGAGCCCGTCTGGAGAAAAAGGGAGTACAATTCAAGTTTTGGTTTTTCAAAATTCTTATTGATATTCGGTAATGTGATTCATTTTACACTTACACATGGTCCCAGCCACCAAACTGGGGCAGAAAATTCTCTTTATTTTTGTCTATTTTGCTGAAGTCAGGAGCCCGCCTGGATAGCATGGGAATACACTCACGTTTTGA